TAGGTTGTTTGGGTTTTTAACCTTGGAAAGCAAAGTGCTTGCACTTTGCCATGTATTTGGTTAAATGTACAGCTTCTAAAAGCATGCTTTTATCAGACCAGTTGTATGCTATTCTCTGTGTACTCTCTAGATCAAGTTCTTTTGTGTCTGGACTATAACGGGCAGCAGTCTGACTGATTGTTCATTGCACAGAACTGTATATACATCATTCCTGTATAAAGAGTGGACCACCTCTTTGAGCACTGTGATAGATGATTTTATAAAGATACTTAAATCTCACCACCAGAGGCAATGCTGTTGAGAGACAAAAGAATAATAAATACTGAGTTTCTTCAGGTTTCATTCAGTTAGTAGGATCTTTACTGATTTGGAGCAGAGAGAATTAATTTACAACACTAATTTGTAAGCATTTCTTACAAATCATTTGTGGTGAATTTCCGTGCTGTGAGGCAACCTGACGTGTTGCTACCGAAGGTACTCACATGTTCCCACCAACCGCTTCTTTGTCTTAGCTAGACACTTTCTTTCCTTCTTGCTTTGGAGAGTTAAATGAGCATAACAACAAAGTATGTACTTCTTTTCTTTTGATGCAGGGTCAAGGCAGGTGAACCCACCCACAAGGAGAGCGGTAGAGCCAGCAAAAGTCCATAGTGGAAATACAAGGGCATCATCTGGAGCAAAGTAGGAAAGGGTGACAAAGACTGTTTCTTCAGCAGCAAAGTGCTAAGTTGAATACTGAGCTGTCTAATGGAATTTCAGCTTTCAGGAAACCCAGTAATGCTGGCAAGTTTTGTGGTTTTTTTCCAGGTGCTTGATCACCTGATAATATAACCCAGTTTTCCATTTGGTTTTGTGGAACTAGATCTTTATCACATAGCATTTCAGTGCTAAAGGCAAGATATGTAACAAAAAGGCTGGTACCTTGGCTTTATTTTTTTTTTTTTTCCTTCATTCCAGAATTATAACTTCAATTTTTAGTTGTTTAAAATTAGAATCACAAGGAATTCAAGAATGTACTTGAACTTACCAGATGGGGGAAAGTGAAGTGTATCCCAGTAAATGGCATCCTAGGCAAGCTGCTGTGCTGTAATTTTTATGTTGAAAACACAGTCCAGAGACTTTGGAGATTAATGATGGCATACATTTCTGAAAGACCATGTACCTCATTTCTAGATGTCATTTCAAATTGGATTTTAAATTTATTTCCTTCTTGCCTGATGACTAGGAAACATTTCTTTACTGGTTGTCAAGCACTGGAACAGGCTGCCCAGGGAAATGGTGGAGTCACCATCCCTAGGGGTGTTTAACAGACATGTAAATGTGGCACCTGGGGACATGGTTTTGTGATGGACTTGGCAGTGCTGAGTTAATAGTTGGACTCGATGATCTCAGAGACTTTTTCCAACCTAAATGACTCTGTGATTCATTACAGCAGTGACTGCAGGCATTTTTCTATATCAAGCAGCCATCAGCTTAGATGCATGCTGGAGATGAAGTCTGTACAGCTGCAAATAAGTCACTCTTTTGGTTTTGCCATTTTTCAGCAAAATGTGACTAATTGCTTTGGATTAATTAGTTAGTATGTTCTACTTCAGTGAAACTGCATTTGTTTCTCCAGTTGAAAGTGTTGTCTGAGCACTGACTCTTAATCAAGCTGGTCAGTGCTACTTTGAGCAGTAGGGTACAACCACATGTAACAGAGTTATGGTAAAAAGCTTTTAGTATTGTCTAAACAGTAGGGTGAGAAATTTGTGTTACAGAAGGGGCGTTCCTATTTCAACGAAGATACCATTATATTTTTTCAGGTCTTTTTATTACTAACCAGATTTTTAAGTGCCTAATATGTAGCAAAATTTAAATACCAGCTGAAATAGCACCTTTTTTCTTTTCTCTTTTGCATGTGTTATATGCCTTTAATAACAGCTCACTAGCAAATGTCTCTGTAAAGAAGAGGTCTGTCTCCATGCTGGTTCTTGCATTTTCTCAGTGGTTGTGTGCCATATGGTTTTACAGTAAGAGAAACTCTCAAAAGGCATGTAGGTGGACTAAAAGAGGAGGAACAAAGTTAATCTTATGAAAACTAGTAGATAATTAGCTTAATTGAATGCAAAAACTTTTAACATGATACGGGTCATACCCCAAGTAGGAAATTTTAGCTATGCCATCACAATGCATTAGAAGATTTCCTTGGAGTAGTATTTTCTTAGAATCAATTGAAAAATAGAAGTTACCTGGAACCATGAAGTATAATGCATTTTATTACTCTACACTTAATAGTTCACTTAATCACTTTCCTTTTTGCTTTAATCCTTTCTTTAGGAAATTCAAATCTTTATAAAACTAATTTCCTTGAACTGTTATAAAACCTCCATATTTCCAAAGCACAGAAATTACATAGTTGTATTTATGATGAACTGTTGAATGCCACTATTCATGGTCATATCCAGGTGTGCTAAATCATCATCCTGGATCAACATTTGTATTTGTTATTATTTTGACATGCAACAATTTCAATGCAGTAATAGCTTTTCCCATTATTTGGTGGATGTGGTTATTTTCTGTTCTTGCATTCTAAAGCGGATCCCATCCAGTGTGATTTTCTTTCCTGACTCAGAATTAATAGTAAGGAGACTGAGAAAGCGTGCAGACCTTTAAGTTTTTTTTTTCTCATTTCTGCAATTCTGATGCAACATCCCAGCCTAAGAAAGTTTCTGTCAGCATTGTCCTGAGAGTGTTGTCAGATGTGTCAGGGGATAGACATAAAAAACATGCTTGCACCAGTATTAGGGGAGTTCATTTCCAGCAGCAGCAGTGCAAATTCTCATCTGGGAGAAGTAAGTGATGAGCAAAGTTTAGCTACAATAATACCAAGGCTGGAGAAGTTCATTCCTTTCCTATGCCAGTGCTGACATGGGTAATTTAGTTGTCATTTCTGCAGTTGTTCTGGCAGCACAAGGACTTTTAGGTATAACCATAAATTCTTCTTGGAATTGGTGCATAGATCTGATGTTTTATTTCCCACCAAATTAAAAACAGTTAAAACTGGGACATTATTTTCTATTTCACCGGTAAGGGGGTTTATGAATCTGAAAACTCCAGAGAATTTCCTTGTCTAAAACCAGATTCAAGTTATGAATTTTCTTCACCAAAGAAGAAAGTTAATGTCAAGATTTAAGATATAATCTTGGATTAGTATATGATTTCTGCATATGTGGGCTATATGTAAGAAAGTAATCTCTCCAGCTACTATTGCAGGTACTTCTCTTTAATATCATTTATTTCAATAGACAAATAAGATCTACTCTATCCTAAAACTTTGGCATCCTGTGTCTCTCTGGAGAGATGAGAGGCATGTTGCTGACGATGGAGTGTATTGTGAACAGAATTCAACATGGTGTGGATATTGCCATGTAAGCCATAGGGCACTGTATTGAAAATACAAAGATCTGGAAAAAGAGAAAAGTCAATTTTCATTACTTGGAAAAAAGCACTATTTGGACTTAAATGCCAACAGTTGAAGAAAATCCCATTTCTTAGTAGGATTTCTTATCTGGATGCTATTATAGAGAAATAAATTTCATGTGCTTTCTGACAAGATCACCATGGATATCTGTAGTACCCCTTGCAGTGATACCAAGGCACCAAGACTTTTGAATCCTGCTGCAGTCAACACACTTCACTGCTATGCTGAGAAGCCTGCTGCTGTCCTTTGCACTCAGAGAATTAGGAGGGTTTGCTTTGTAGATTCAAATTAAGGAAGAACTTATAAGAGACTAACGGTGAATAAATTCAAAAATTAATAAAGGGTGAGGATAGATTCCCATAGGATTCCGACTAGTTCCCAGCCTGCCTCCTAGTGGTTAGCTTTCCCACTACATTGAAAGTCACCCTTTTATGGTTTGTTTTGTATTGTTTCTCTCAAGACATTTCAGAATACAGCACTTAATAAAGCAGGTAATTTTACATACACATTCCCAAAAATGAACTAATTTTACCCTATAATTATGGCTGCTGCTTTGCCTTAGTGTGTTGTGTGAAGTACCATCCCAAACAAAGGTTTTCAGAAGAGTGAAGGATTACAGAAAAGGAACAGGTACAAAGATTTATCAATCATTTATCAATCAAACTTAGATCTGAAAACCTCTGAAAACCTTTTCAATTCTTCCCTCTTAAGAATTGAAAAGAGAGATGTTAGGTTCCTGACTGGGTTTTTCTTACAAGTTTCCATTTCAGGGTTAGCTGGCTGATGGGCCAAGGTCAAGATTTCAGAGAAGTCAGGGCTGCTTTCTGTTAAATTTGATGAGAAATTCGGAAAAAATAAATAAGATGTTCTGAAAAGAGCTACCAAATTAACTGTAAGCATGTCATTTTTTCCTACATCATCCTAATTTTTCCACAGTGTAATATTTTGTTGGTAATAAAGTATGAGCTATTTCTTCCAAATATGTATGATTCAACACTTAATGTACTGAACAGTAAATATCAGAGTTGCTGTAGTCACTGTAACTTTACATTATTTGGATTTTGGTTAGTATGTTTCGAATTTGAGTATTTGATCTTAATGGATGATATTGTCCTCTGCTTTGTACCTTTCAGCTCTGCATGGCATTTACTGAAATTTCAGAATAGCATCAGCTTTTCAGGATCTATTATTCAAACGTCATGCTAAAAAGGCATCTAGAAACAAAGTGTTTGGTCAAATGATGATTTGTGATACTTTTTTTACAGTAAAGTTATTGAGATGGCAGCTGGATTTACTTAAATGTTCAGGATTGTCCTATATTGTATTGATTGAGCATTTATTTAACCAATAGAAGGTGTTATCTGTGATATTATCAACTGAAAAATGCAGATAAGTCTGTGTTGAATCATCATAGTAACATAAAGTACCTGTTCTTCAGATTGATCACCATGAATAAATTATTGCTCTAACTTAGTGGGAGCTTGGGTTTTTTTATTTGTTTGGGGTTTTACATTTAATCTTCTTTGTTTTCACATAGGGAGACAATTTTAAGCAAGAACCCTGGATACCTGTTAATAAAAGCAAAGCAGAAGAAAAAGAGAAAAAGAAACAAAACAATGAAAAGTAATCGTACAGAAATGACAAAGAAAATGTTATGTGGAGTAGCTCATCATTCAATTCTAGGTGACCATGATGGATCTGAAAGTGAAGAGGATGACTTGGAAGAAGGAAACAAAAAATCATTGTGTACATTCAGCAAAGGCCCAGAGGATCCAGTAACAGTTTGTGAAGAGCAGCCTAAGAGTAGTGATGAAAGCCTAAAAGAAGCTGCAGGGGGTTCAAGAGAGAGTTTTCTGGTCACTGTGCCTGAGGTCTCAGTGATGTCAAATAGTGCATGCAAAAATGAATTGCCTGTAGAAGGTGACAGTTTGCTTTCAAGAGATGTAAAACCTTTTTGTGCTGAAAACCTAACCAAAAAAGCCTTAGATGACAAGGAAGCAAAGCAAAGGCACAAAGACAATCTCTGCAGTTTCCTAACAATAAGCAATTATAAAAATTCCATCCAAGAAACAGAAGGCATTTCTGAAGACTATGATATGTCATTGTTAAGTACAGAAAACAAACTGGGATCATGTCAAATTACATGTGAACCTGACGAGGAAGCCAAGCTGGTAAGTTTAAACAGTGAAGAAAAAGAAATCTCTCAGTATTGCAGTTCAAGTGTACTTGATAATGTGCCTGATAACACAGAGGGCAAATGTCCATTAAAAGCGGAAGAAACTAGCTCCAATGCCTGGGCTTTTTTTTCAATTAATTTATCTGCTGAGGAGTTGCAGATAGGCTTCAATACTCCAGTTTCTCTCTCTCCTTGCTCTGAGGATAAATGTGTAAGTGAACAAAGATCTCAAAAATTGAGGAAACCTGAACAGACTCATACAAACAGTTCAGCAGAACGAAACTGCTATCAGTCAAATGAGGGATTGGTAAAGGAAAACCATAATGAAACAGAAACAGAGGAAGCTGGCAATATAATAAGCAATGATCTGTCTGGATCTCTAACTGGTAAAGTGCACTTTGATTCCCTAGTGGAAGCCAGGGCTGCCTTCATGCCGGGTTCAAGTGAAGTAAATGTGCCAATAAATGATGCTACACCAACTGCACTGAAGAGGAAGAGATACAGGAGAATTGTCAACTTAGCACCAAAGTTTAACCTACCTAGACAGATCTTTGGTCATACACAGGAAGGGAAGGACATCCTGGTAAGAGAAGATATTCCCCAAAATAGTGTTTTAGAAGTGAGGCAAAAATACTTTCTAAGCAAGAACTGTGGAGAAGCACATGAACAGGAGGACCATGCATTGCAGGAATATTCCTCACCCACTCCGGATGCAGATGCTCTGTTACATAATACTTATTACATTCATTCAGAACAATGTTCTCCTATATCAAAATACGCCTGCAGGGTTTGTGTAGATTCCAAAACAAAGGAGGAGCAAGCTACAACACTTCAGCCACAACAGGTAGTTAATAAAAAACAGGACAAGGGTGAACATGTTTCTTCAGAGGTTACAAATGGCCAACCAGATAACTTGTCTTCTGTTGAAGTTGTTTCTGAATATCTAGAAGATTCTACTACAATGGCAAGCTGCAGTGAAAATGCAAATGAAGCAGACAACTCTGAGCCAGCAAAGGCATCGCAGCTTGAAGATTATCAAGACGCAGATGTGAAGTGCAGTTTTCTGGGACTTCCCTTATCTTTGGGACTTGCTTTTCAACTTGTGCAGCTCTTTGGTTCTCCAGGTCTTCCATTGGGTATAATGCTTTTCTTTCTACTCCTATGTAAAATTAAAAAAAAACACAATCCCCTCAAAACCACAAGCAAAAACCAAAGCACTCCCTCCAAACCAAAAAACAAATGAAAAGACTATGGTTAAAAACTAATTTTTATTGCAGTTCTTAGTTAAATATTAATGCTGTTGAAACAAATCACTGCTATTTTTGTGATGATTTTTAGTTTTTACCTAAAATCCTCAGTCTCTGTCAAAGGGGCTTTTGGTTTGGCCTTGTATTTGCAGTCTCTTTAGTAAGAAAAATTAGCTTTACATCCAAACATGAAATGCTTGCTGAACATTTAATATATCCTAGTAAGACTTTTCTGTGCTGATTACAAAACTAAATGATGTTTTCATACTTCCTACTGAATAAGACTTTACTGTGATGATTATGGAACTAAATGAAAATGTGGTGTAAAATGTGTGCACTTATATAAAGGCTGCATGTTTGATTTTATATTCCAGAGAGTAATTTTTTTTTTTTTTTGGTAGAGTTTTCATACACATTTACGTGGCTTAGAATCCGTTGAAAAACTTTCCCAAAATCTAATTTGGTTTGAAATTCAATATCAGGCTTACAAGATGCCTTCTTTTTAAGTGTGTCTTATTAACAAGTGTCCTGGTCTTGTATATTGCCTTCCAGAGCTCTAGATGTCTTATTTTTGTACTTTCAGTTTAATACTTTTAAGTTAGCAGGTAAAAGACAAGCAATCCTCAAAGGAATTGAGTGTGCCGGCCACCATTTCCCAGTATACTGCAGGCTAATGTAATCCCACAGAGCTGTAACCAGTGAAAACAACAGAGTTTTGTTTGGAAGTCACTATACAACACCTGCTGGAAGACACCTATTCCCTGTGCATAGTGTTTTTCATCTTCTTGGGTCCAAATTTAGTGGAGAAACTGTAGCTTTCATTTAGCCAATAAATAGAATTAAAAAACACAGGCCAGCTTTTCAGTATACCTTTAAATTTGTTTGTTTCAGTAGAATTTAAAGTTAAGCATGAATTTTCATAGGAAAATTTTAATACGACAACTGAGGAGCAGCTTATGTCATTTTATCTGCTCAAACTGACCTCAGGATTTTGTTGGTTGTTAAAAGTTTGTGGCAATGCCACCTGCCAGAACAGTGGTGAAAATCATAGGAAGCATTACTTGGCTTTAGGTCCCTAAAGGGGAACCTAAAGGACTGCTTTATCTAAATCTGGCACTGCACACCAAAGAACTTGCCACATAGAGCTGAAATTAAGCAAGGAAGCACCTTGCTTAATTGTTGATGTCCTCAACAATTACATATAAAACATTTTTCTTCTCCAAACTTGGTGAATCTTCACATTTGTGATTTTGAATTTTATAGTCTAAGAGGGAGCTTGCCATGACTTGAAAAAAGGCATCTTCCAAGAAAGAAAAAGAATAACCAGGCATTCAGAAACACTCAGTAGGTTAGTGAACCAAATGTCCTTTTTCTCTTCAGTAACAGGTGACATTTTCTGGAGTTTAGGTGAGTTTCCTTTGGAAATAACCTTCAAGAAATACAAATCCACCCCGATATCTCTCTGAAGCTGTGCCAGCTTGTGATTCCTGACTGCTGGAGTTTTCCCACCAGAATTGTGCCTGGCTGGCCATGTTCTCCTATTATTATTCTAAAATTCCAAAAATTATCCTGCTTGCTGGTTTTTTGGTGTTTTATTTGTTTGTTTTTTTTTTTTGTTTTTTGTTTGTTTGTTTGTTTGTTTTTTGGTTTTTTGGGTTTTTTTGATGGTTTTGTTTTTGTGGTGTACAGTACATTGACAGGCAATTATTTATTTATGCACACATTTGAACTGGTATTATTTTACAACACTTGGAATTGCAGTCAATCTTTATTGAAATTATTTTGGAGGGGAATTTTTTTGTAAATAAATGTCTTTAGTTATTTATAAATGGAAGATTTTATTGCATGTCTTGCTTGTATGGTTCTTATAAGACTAGAATATATTTCAAACAGTTTTCCTATAAATAACCTCTTTTCAGCTTCTTAAGTGGTGTTACAGTTAAAATGTTTTAGGAAACACCTTCTCTACTAATAGTGCACAAATTCTTATAATTAATTATTTTAAATTTTAAAGGCTGTTAATTAAGTTCAATTTATTTTAATTTAATGGCTGAAAACTTTTTTTTTCTTGTGTGTGCCTATTTTTAAGGGAGTATGGGGGGGAAGTGAAACTATGGTAGGAAAGTCTTCATCTCAACAAAGAAACGAAACCCAAATCTCCTTCCCTCTCTTTCCATTCTTGTGCACTGGCCTTAGATTCCAGAAATTCTAAATTCTGATTTTGCTGCTGGCTCATTTAAAGATCTGATTTTTTTTTTGATTATATAAATAATGTGTGCAAAAATTGTAATTCAGTGATATATTTTGGCTGTGGACAGATCTGAACACTCAACTGCAAAAAATATTTTCTTCTGCAGAATCCTTGTTGCCAGATGATTATATAGTTCCCCTTGACTGGAAAGTTTCAAAGATGATCTATTTACTGTGGAAGACCTCTGTAGAGGTATGAATTTTAGGGGATTTTGGAAGGCTTTCCAATATTTCAGGTGCAAAGGGGAATTCTTCAGTTCTTTGTTAGTAAGTTTGCTTTAATACCCACAATGAGGAGATGGATGGTTTTTGTCCTCCTCGGGGTATTTCTAAAACCAGCTCATCAACATGGTAGGATTCAGGTTTTAAAAGATCAACTTCAGAAGTGTGTACAACTACTAGATAAAAAAGGGTGAAAAAACTTTGATACCTGTGTCTTGACCTGACCTATGTTCATTAAGTACAAGCTACCATCATTCAGATGTTTTCTGTCCTATGGTATTCTCTCATCATCTGAGCAGATCTCATCCTCCATCACCTCTGCTAGAGCTGCAGCAGAGAAGTTATTCTGCGTGACTGTGGGCAAATTAATTATCTTTGTCTAGCTGGAAAGTGTTAACTTACAAATTACTTCTTTTCCTTGTTTGGTAGTGGAAATCAGGAAAATCCTGATTACAATGAACTAGTTATTATAAAATAGAGCATGGACTTTGTTCTTGCCTAAAATAACATCTCTTGTCACATACTTTCTTTTTGCTGGACTATTGTTATCTATTTTAGGAAAAACAGAAACCAAATGGATTGAAGAATGAAGATGGCTTGACTGGTAAGTCTATTCTGTGATACAAAAAATGTATAAAAATGTTCTTATCAAACGGGTTTTTGTTACCAATTAGTGATAACACTCCTCTTTGTGCAAAAGCACGATGAAAAATTAATTTGTGCTGCCATCCATTGTGTCCATGGTCCACAGATCTATGGTTGCTGTCATCAATTCATTTTTCCTCATGTGCTAAAATTGCCTTATAAAGCTTCCTACATTGAAATATTCCAGTAATTAGCTCAAGTTTATCCATTCTAGATCAAAATGTTGTTTAGCATGATATAGTCTTTCTTGAGACTTTACTTCCCTGAAAGGTTGAGTATCTTCAAGTTAATTAAACTTCATTATCACTAAAAGTTGGCAGCACAATAATAGAACCATGGAATTATTTAGGTGGGAAAAGATCTATAAGATCATTGATCATAAGATCAGACCATCCATTAACCCAGCACTGCCCAAGTCTGTCCCTCAGTGCCACATCTACCGGCTTTTGGAACACTTTGGGAGATGATTTCACTACTTCCTGGGCACCCTGTTGCAATGCCCAGCCACCCTTTCAGTGAAAAAAATTTTCCTAATATCCAATGTAAACCTCCCTAGTGCAACTTGAGGCCATTTCCTCTTGTCCTGTCATTTGTTACCTGGGAAAAGAGACCAACCCCCACCTGGCTACACCCTCCTTTCAGGCAGTTGTAGAGAGCAATAAGGTCCCCCCTAAGTCTTCTTTTCTCCAGGCTAAACACCCCCAGCTCCCTCAGCTGCTCCTCATCAGACTTGTGCTCTAGACCATTCCCCAGATCCATTGCCTTTCTCTGGACATACTCCAGCACCCCAGAGTCTTTTTATAGTGAGGGGCCTAAAAATGAAGCCAGAACTTGAGATGTGGCCTCGCAAGTGCTGAGTACAGGCAGACAGTCACTGTCCTGGTCCTGCTGGCCACACTACTGCTGGTACAGGCCAGGATGCCACTGGCCTTCTTGGCCGCCTGAGCACAGCTGGCTCATGTTCAGCTGCTGTCAAACAGCACTTGAGGTCACAGCTGGGCAGCAAGAGATGTCAAGGTTCATGTGAAGCTCTGGACTTCTGCATGCATTAATTCCTGCAGTGTGGAAGTTATGGGATAAGGTTGCTTGTTGTGTTTTTCTATGATTTCCATATTAATGCACTACAATTTCACAGGTTCTGTAACAAGTTTAAAAATACACAACAGTAGTTCCCTGAAATCTGGTAGAATTTGCTGTCTAAAATAGGAGAGAGGTTTCTCTATTTTACAAGAAAGGCTGCTTTTGAAGAGGCAGCGTAAGAGTGGGAAGAGACACACACATGCATGCATGTTGTCTTTCATTCCCCACCCCCTACGAGAGACAAACCAGAAATTTTTATAGGCCATTTAGGAGGCAAGAATCAAGAGGATGCTGGTAAAATAAAAGCTTCTTCTAAAAATACTCTATCCTGACACAACAGAAATGAGAGACTATGTAAGGTAATTTCAGGTGGTTTTTGCTGCAGTTTGTAATTTCTTTATTTTTTAGATGATATCATTAATCTTGAAGATCTAAATAAAAATCCCCAAGAGAATCAAGACTCTTCTGAAACACTATCAGACATGGAGCTATGTCAAGATGTGACAGAGGAGAACATTATAACCTGCAGTGACTGTCTGGATGCTGCATTTCATCAGTCATGAATGACTGTCTTAAATTCTGCATGAACAAACAGGTAATCAGTCACCTTGTGAGTATTTTACTCTTTTATTATATTTAACCAGATATCTTTTTATTATATTTCACCAAATATCTAAAGAATATTGTTTGTTATAATTTTTAAGGTGCACTTAGTATCCTCCAATTTCCTCGGGTTTTAATTGAGTTTGGGTTGAGGGTTGTTCAGATTTTGTTTCTTTCAAGCCTGAATGGGGAAAAGAGAATGCAGTATTTTGTTATTAAAGCCATATGATTTTATTTTTTCCTCTGAAATCTAAAACATCTGTGGTGAAGTGAAAGCAGCAGGGTAGGATGCCTAAGAAGTGGAATTTATTCCCACTTTGGTTGCTGTGGCAATCTGTTGTGAGTCATCAGAGTTCTACTTTCCTTGTCTTTTCAGCATGGAGAGTAATGCTGACTCCATTAAGGCTCTAATTATGAAAAGAACTTTATGAATAATAAAACAGTAGTTCACCAAATTATGAAGAAGTGGCAGTTCAGTGGAGAAACGGTAGCAAGAGGTCACAGTAAGACTCCATATATTGAAATGTTAAATTTTCATTAGTGTTTTCATTTAGTGTGACAAAGTGTGCTGTCGTGTTCTTGCTCGTCTCATGAATTTTTGAACCCTTGGTAACTTGGCAAAGTTTCTTGGGTTTGTTTATGAGAGATATTCTGGGAAGATTGAGATAAAAAGGAAGGATTGTGGGTTCCAGCAGGAAAATGCTAGCTTAACTTCTCTATCATTTGCTGTTAGTTGTTCTTTCCAAAATGGAAAATGGATTAATCAGTAGTTTTAAAACAAATAAGCGAAGGTACATAGAAATAGAATAACTTGCACCGTAAGCAAACTGAGCCAGAAAAAGATTCCATATCCTGAGGCTTAAATTGTTCCCATCCAGACATCTCAGACTGCTGAAATATCATCCACATGGGATGATGGGGTGTGGTCAGGGGGTCTTTGTCCTGGTGCCCTGTGCCTGACCTGACCATGCCTCCAGTCGATGGCTGGAACAGGAGTCAAGGAGGTGGGTGTGCACTGTGTTGGAGCTGTTATAAACACAGAAGTTTTCACAGTGGATGTTCATGTCACAGGGGAAGTAGTTGAATAGTTTGGGTTGGAATTGAAACCTCTTGAATGGGGTTTGATTTGATTTTATGTCATTGATGACAATAATGACATTGCAGGCTGATTAGCTGGTACCAGCTACCAGTGCAGGAACCACATGGCCTAGAGAGCACTGATCTCAGAGGGTCCTCTCAGCACAGATCATTAATAACATCAAGAACATCTGGCAGCAGTATTTTCCTCTTAAATAATCAGATACTATAATTTTGGGTAAGCAAATAAAAAATATTTTCACAAAATACTTAGGCCCACACCTGCCACCAATTTTTAGAAGCTCCTTATTTATAATATTGCAATACAAACACTCTAGAGGCAGGATTTTGGTGTATGGTCCTGACTGGATGTCCGTGTGGGTTTGTGTCCTAAGCTATTATCCAGAAATGTCCAGGTTATTGATTAAATATTTGTATGCTAAAGAAACAGATGTGAAGAGCTTTGTCATCTTCCTGGGAGAAAATGGTGAAATATGAAACTTTCTCCTTTTGTGCTTCAAGAAAGGAAAGACACATGCTAGCAGATTATCCTGCCTTATTGTCTGTACCTTTATCTGGTTGCTGAATCCAACAAACTGGTTTTTTCCCATTAGGTTTACTCCCTTTGTCTGTCTGCTCTGCTACTCCCAAAATTGTTTCAGTCTTCCTCTCCTGCTTGTCATGAGCGCAGCAGAAATGACCCAGAGCCCTGCATGTTTGTCACCCAGCCACTGTCTGCTGCCAGGAAACCCCAGTTTGTTATGTTGTCTTGCAGTCTAACGCTCTACTGTGTCAGCTTGTGTTAGTTCCGTGGAATACAGAATGAGAGCAATGCAGACTTTGCCACAAAAGAAGACTCCCCATTGGTGTTCGGCTTATAAAAAGGCCTTGCACTCTCTCTGCAGGGCTTGGCCATTGAGATCTACGCTGGAATGGGGAGATACAGCTGGAGCTTATGTTGGGAGTTTTTGTTTTGCTTTGTTTTAGTTCAGCATCTGAAATGAGTCAGGGAAAGTCCTGAAGGCCGTTGGAGGGAAAGGACGAGACACCAGAGGTCAGATGGGTTTAGGCTGCTCTGGAGCTGAGATCTGCCAGCTCAGACCAGGCTGATGCAATGGGTAACTGCTGCCCAAAGTGTGAAGTGCCCTTCCTCCCAGCCCTGCTCCAGACAGCAGCTCCAGCACTTGCTGGCTGACACGAAGGCTATAATTTAATTCAGTAACCCCACAGCAAACAAATCAATACTTTCCTGCTGGACTGAGGCATTTAGATAAGCTACTCTAAGGTCCAGCTCAGTGCCAAGGCTGGGGCAAGGGAACAGTTGAGGTTGTGCTGCTGCAGATGTGAGGAGGGGATGTGCAGAGTGTCCTGTCTGGGCAGCAGTCAGCTCTGATATCAGGGGCCATGTATTCTGCAACCAAACCTTCAGGTGGAGGACTCTTTCAAGCTTTTACAAATGTAGGATGTTAGAAGAATTAAACCAAGAAAAGTATGTGGAAAGGGAAGCATGTCTTAGGATTTTCAGCTGGCTCATGCTCACTGTCAGGCACAGGATACGGGGTAAAAGAGACCCCATGTGAGTATTCCAGTGCTTCCACAATGTTTGTGTGCAGGCATTGTAAAAGACAGGTGAGTTTTCCCCCTGGCTTTGAGGGATAAGGTTGTCTTGCGTCATCACAAAATAATTCCCCTCTGGTTCCTGATTAAAGCAGACTTGCCAAAAGTGATGTCTCAGAGTGGTTGTGAAACTGCTCAAGTGAGCAACTGTAAATGTTGAAATGGATTTCAATCCTTCAAATGTCAGGGGGGAAATAAAAAACTAGGAAAATTGAGACATTCCTACCAAAAATATTTTAAAATCAAAGGAAATCAAGGGAGAGCTAATATGATCATTTTGATCCCTTTAGATTGGAAAGCAAACTGAGCATTACTGGCCAAGTGCAACTTAATCTGTTAGCCAGATGAACATACTTCTATATTCATGTTGTGTAAAGGTGTTTGTATTCCAGTGGGAGGGTGAACAGTGTTCCTCTGTGAAAACACAGGGTTAATGTCAAGCTTTTGTGAGAGCTCCTTATTACAGCATTGGCACCACATCAATATTTGTTCTGGAGATTAAGCAAGAGTTCCCAGTTTGAGAAATGTTGAGATCAGTGAAAACAGCATTATTTTGGTGACTAGAAATTCTCCTTAGACCAGGGCTCACAGATGCCAGTACAAATGTGTCTGTTCAAGCATTTATGCAGGACTCCTGCAAGGCAGAAGCTGACATGTTTCTTTTTGAAGTACAGCAGTCAGTAACTCCCTGCAGGAATACTTCTTCCACAACAGCCCTGAAGGGTGTGGTTTTGATGGGACAAATCTCTTGATAACCCGTGTTATCACTCCTCCTTTTCCTGACTGTGCTATTCCCAGAACTTCCCTTTGATGGCTGTGATGCTTCTGAGTGAGGCAGTTCAGCTCTAACATCTAATGCATGAAGACATCCAAAAGGTTTTTGGTCTGAAAAAAAATTGTCCTAGAGCCCATGAGATCAGCAGGACGTGGGCAAAAAAGCAGGAGTGTATAGCTGGGACAGGCAGGACTGGTTTTTGGCTAAAATGAAAAAAATTAATCTAAAGGATACAAAGCAGACTAAAGCCGTCTTCCAGTATTGCCACAGAAAATATCATCCCATGGTCAAACTTCTTCCAGTTGCTACTTTGATGCACAGATAATAAAAATTAAAAAAAAAAAAATTACCTGCCCTTTGACATTTAACCACTAATATTAAACAAAATGAAGCATGATAAAGTTCACAGAATTGTGACCAGAAAACCTCACCTGCCTTTTACAGTGCTTACCAGGAAAACCTGGGCTCAAAAATTTATTCAAGCAGAGAGTCAAATTACCTGGGGGAGTAAGTGCTGCCCACAGCTGTGTTTTTGGAGCTCTCAAGAAAGAGCAACAATTGGGTTGTGCGGGTACCTCACACTAACTCTGTAACATGAAAGCCTGTGAGGTCCTGAATGCATGTAACAGGGGAAAAAATTCACATTGTAACAAAAAAATTGAGATGTAACTGTACTGTGGTGGTGTTGGTTGAACAGCTGTTCATTACATAGGGTTTGTGTCGAGAAAAAAAATCCACTCTGTTACTCTTCTCCTTATTTTTCAGCTTTGAGGTGGTAAGGTCCTTGCTGCCTCTAGTTTTGACATCCAAATTACCTTCCTTTTCCACTCTCCTTGCATTCTTGTATTTTTCCTTTGCTTTCCGTTGTCTGCTTCCTCTCCATTATTTTTAACTCTTTAAAGAAATAACTAACAGCTAAGTATTATAAACTTTAAAAAACATTGGACAGACTCTTCTCAGTCTGAGGGCTGGATTATCTGTTAAGTCTTTTCGCTGCGTGTGCTGTTGTGGAACTTCAGCAGACCCTCTTCTTTTTTTTTTTTTTTTTTATTTCAGAAACTTCTTGCTTTAATTCCACCATGGAAGGACTTCAGTTGGCCACCAAGGAATTTAAATGTGAGGGACAACCTGGAAGAAAGAAACCACAGTAGATCTTTTGGTATACATCTTTGGCCACCTCCCTCCAACACTGCCCCCCAGTCTGACCACGTAATAATGATCAAAATTGAGATAACTTTGCATATGACAAAAGGTCATTTTCTGAAGCCATTTTGGATTTACACTTTGTCTGTACATCCTCGAGTGTGCTATAAAGAGATTCAGAGTGGAGACCAGAGGCATCTGTCACTATGGGGTGTGAACTTCAGGCTGTGGTATTTCATTCACTCGTATCAGGATCCAGGATATTGCCACAGAAGCAGGCCATGATGCTCACATGCAGGGAATGGTGCTTGTTACTTGTCTTACCTGCCTCCTTCTACCTTCATCCTCAATCATAATTTCATCCAGTCCCTTTACAACCTCAGATGGTAAATATCTTCATCTGTCATTCCTATTCACTCAAACAGGGGTGCACATCTTCCATTCTTTTCTCCTGAAACAGGCTTTAGGCTTCCCTTCAGCTAAACTCGTTTGGGGATTTGGGACTGCAGAAACAAGAACATTTCACTGTGGAATTGATTCAAACATGCTGAAGGAAGGGTGTGTATGGTTTGTGGTAGACTGAGAAGATGTATAACTAGCACTGGTAACCACTGATTTGGTGTTTCTGTTAGTGGTGTTGGAAATATTTATGTATGTAGAGAAAAATAAACCATAACTAATTATAAAGAACAACCTCTGTCAATTATGAGGCATGCATAAGGCTGGACACTTCTTTGTAGGAAGACGGAGTGACAGCTGTCACCTCATTTAACAATAGAAGTGTAAGAAAAGATGAAGGAGAAGAAGGAAACTTGGTTGTGTCTACTTGTCAGAAATAATATTTCCCACTTGTGCAGCTTGCAGATCCAGCCATTTATTCTCCATTTGTTCTTTGATCTCCTCTTCCTCACCTTTCCCTGCATTTGTTTATACATCAGCTGAACAGCAAGGACTTGACTGAACTCGTGCTCAAGCTCCACCATGGTCAAATTTGCTGATGTGTCTCCACTTTCTACTTAAATATTGCATCTACATGAAAGCAGTTAACAATGTATGTATTTCTAAATTAATGTTGTACCACTGGCAAAATTTTCTGGCTGCACTGTTTGAATGCATCTCCCATGGACATGTGTGTGTCTTCCTTGGCTGGAAATGTCCTGCTCTCCTACCAGCAGAACATTATACAAAATGTAAAGGGCAGGAGGAGGGAGTTCATACCCCCCACAACCACAGCTTCAGACTTCTGTGTTGTACTAGTGGCAGCAGACAAGTTAGTTTGATTTCAGGAAAATGTCACTCAAGGAGTAAGACACTCAAGTGTCTTCCTACTTCTATTTATTGAGTGAGAAGTCTGAATGCCTCTATTTTCTGTTACTGAACCCTGGCCTTCTAGAATGCTTGAAATAAAAATAGTTTTCAAAATCCTCACTTTACTCTTGTATGGGCAAGTGATGTTTCACTCTTAAAAGAGTGTTGCCAGTTCAAGTTTGCTTTAACCCCCATCTATGAATTTCACATTTTCTGTCTCTTCTTTCCTGATACATCTTCCCCACTTGCTTCAGTTAGTGCTGGTGTGCCATGTCCCTGGGGAGCTAAGCTTTCTCCCTGTGTGTGAACACTCTCTTTAGCACTGTTTGGAGCCTTAGAAAACCTTCTCTTTCGGGCTTTGATGATTCATTCCCTTTCGGCCCTGCCCTGTAGTTCGCAATACAGAGAGGCAGCACCTGGGACTGGAACGCTGTCAGCGCTGCCTTGTGTTTTCCTGCCTTTGAGAATTTGGGGAATAATCCTGACTTTAAATAACTGGAGATGGTATCTCGGGCCAAAGTTCCGAGTCTGCGGCGAGTGCCGTAGCTGATCGCTTCTATCTCGGGCCAAAGTTCCGAGAAACGGCGAGTGCCGTAGCTGATCGCTTTGGCTGTGCAGCCGCAGACGCCCGTCCCTGCCCGTCTCTGCTCCGGGCAGCTTTCGGTTTCGCGGGGCAAAGTCTCGGCCGCCCGGGACATGGAGGGACGAGCGCTCCCGCCCGGCCCCGCCCGCGGGGGCCGAGGGGCGCGGGGCCGGGGTCGCGGCGGGGGCC